AACTGACTGGCAAGTAAAAAACTATTAATCTAGAATTATGAATCTAAATTAATGGATTTATGGTCATAGTTTCTTATAATTGGATTATTATGAGTAGTACTAAAGTCACTTTAGTAGTGATATGACAAGAGAAAAGTACTTCTAACAATTGATTTAGGATGCTTCAATTTAAAATTGATGAATATTATGGTTATTGATGAATATTATGACAGAAAGCAATTGATAACTTGCTAGGAGAGGAGCATATGAATCTTCAAAATTAGTTGGGTATTGACTAAGGCTAAGTTAGTTTTGGAATCGAGAAAGCTTTACCGCTGAGCATCAGAAAACAATATATCTACTGCTAATTATAGGTATTATACTTCTATATTCCCCACCTTTGCTGCTTGCTTTTTGGCCTTGTGATGTCTCTCTGGGACAATACAAGTAATTCGTGTGAGTTCAAATTATGCATTATTAGATTTAGTACGAATTGTAAACTAATGCCTGGTTACATTTAATGCAACCCAAAATTCAGTTAATTCAAGGCTAGTATGTATGCAGTTGAGGCAAATGCCTGCACAATTGCATTTGAGGGTTCAGACACTGTTAATCATTATGTACAAAATGGAGAAAAAGATTTCATCAGAGGAAACAAGTACAATTTCAAAAAAGAACAGGCTCATTATATTAGAACAAAAATCTGATCTAATTCAATGACATAAATATGATCATGGCATAAAACAATAGCTGTAATGAATCTATGGTAAACTGCTAAATTTAAATTAGAAGTATATTCTTTTACCATTTACTGTAATATTTCAGTCAGAGGTGGTATTCAGCAGGTTCTGACCAGTTCTGGAGAACCGGTAGCGGAAATTTTGAGTAGTTCAAAGAACCGGCAAATACCACCTCTGACTGGAGATTTTACAGTATCCTTCCCTGCCACCCCCATCAAGCCATGCCCACAGAACCAGTAGTAAAAAAATTTTGAATCCCACTACTGATTTCAGTATATACAAGAAATTATATTGAAAAATTGTCATTGCCTATTTCCACAAGCTGGAACCAATTGCAGTATTTTCCATAGAAAATATTTCAGTTTTCCACTTTAAATAGGGCAAATTCAAATAATATGACCACTTTATGGAATTCATTAACTGAACTAATTAGGACCTGCCTGTCTTTTATATAACATATTAAATAAAAAATAGCCAACCACACTATTACATATGCGAACCACAGCTATTAATTTCTGGCTAGAGTAGGATGCAAATTCAGATAATTGGGTTGTGTTCCTCGCATGTGAGTTAACCATTTAATGAAACTAGCAAGGGTTTATATACAGATCAGAAAATACCAGTTATCCTCATGGAAATCCTGCAAAAACAAATCAGTATGATCTCGGATACTTTCATGAATAGCCCATGGATCCAATCTTGCTATAGATGAATGAGATCACGTTAAACTTGCTACCCATAGAAGTAGTCTGCCATTGTTTTTTTTTTCTCTCTGCTACTTTTTCCATTTTCCCAGGATGGAGAATACCTGGGATTTCCTGGGTCCCCATCCTATCCGAAGATTAATCAAATCTGACCCTGCTTAGCTAATAATAATAATAATAATAATAATAATAATAATAATAATAATAATAATTAATAATAGTAATAGTAATAGTAATAATAGTAGTAATAGTAATAGTAATAAACAACTACTCTCTCCCACCAGCGCGCCAGCCCATCCCAAAACTTGTCACCACGACCCGGTTTCCAACTCGCGAGAGAGCTGGCAGGAAAAGGTAGTCGCCGGTCCGAAAAGGCCGTCACTCTTTCCGCTTTCGCGAGCAACTTCCCGTAAAGCCTGCCGTTGCTCGGCGCGAGGAAGGGAGCGTTCGCGCGTGCGCATTCGCCCTGGAACCATGAGCTCGGGCGTCAGAACCCGACGGGATTGCTTTACTGCCGCACCTCAACGACTGGTACGGTAGTTGGTTTGGTCCCTTTTCTGCCGCCCAGTGAAGATTAACGTAGGCTGCGATGGGGTTGTAAGAAAACCAGCCTTCGGCGGGCACGGGGGAGGGGAGAAGGGGGAAAAAGAATAAGGAATTGCCGTTTTCCTGGCGAAGCTGTGATTTCCGGGCAATTGGCTGTTATACAGGAATTTATCTTTAGACTGCCGGCCTAAAGGGGTCAATTGGATGCTGCTCAGCCCTGTTCCTTTCTTCCGTGGATGGCCGGTTGGTCGTGGTGTTCATCGTTCTACCATCCCGCCTCCGCCCCTCCTCTGAGTCTCTAGGCGAGGAGCGCCACCGACCAAGACGGAGAGAAATCCAGACAGGTAAAGAAAAATGGGATTCCTAAATTGGTGTACTGTAAGATGCCTTTGGGAAAGGATCATTCTGCAAAAGCTTATGCCACAGTGAAGTTGCTGCTAGACTGTAAGCCCCTTTGTGGTAATAGATTCAAAATCTGTTCCTGGTAAAGAAAAAGGAAGAGAACCCCCTAAATTGGTACGTTGTTAAGTTGCGAAGTTGTGTCCCACCCACTGCGACCCCATAGACAATGTTCCTCCAGGCCTTCCCTTCCTCTACCATCTTCTGGAGTCCGTTTAAATTTAAATTTATGCCATTTAAATTAGTCTACTGTAGACCACAAAAGCATTGGAAAAGCATCAGTTTACAAAAGCTTATGCTACAGTGAAGTTGCTGCTTTGTGGTAATAAATTAAAAATCTGTTCCTTGGGAACATCTCTTTAAGTGGAAGAAAAGAGTCACATAATCCTGAAATTGCTAGGATCCTTATATAAGGTATTTATTAGTCTTTTTCCAGAGTTATTAACACTCTTTATTTGCCGTTTCCTGAAACTAGTCCTTGGCAAAGGAATAAGGCACTTTATTTCAACTTGCTCTTAACCCTGTTCAGAGGGAGTTGTGTATGGCAGGAAAATAGTAGTGGCACGTCAAGTTTAACTAGTTTTGTGGATTAGTTATGTATTTATTTGCTGGGGTAGCATTCCAATCCTTAATATTCCTCCATTTATTCACATAAGTGTGAGGATTGTCAAGATTTAATATTGTTAAATGAATATCTGTAAAAAGGAGCATCAAAAGGATTTCTAAGACTCTGCAGTCTGATATGAGTGGATCTGTACTTGTACTGCTTTATGTCATGACAGGTTATTTTTAAAACTGTGACTTGTACAGATATGATATATCTGCTATCGTTGTGTTTTTTTAAAGAAGTAGTCATGATAGCATCTTCTAAAAGGCGAATCTATGGACATAATAGAGGAGAGACTGCTTGATGATCCTCTTGATCAATATTTTTTTTTGCCTGTATAAATATTCAGCACATGTTTTCATTTTGTCATGAATAGGATTCAATTCCCTGCTCAAACTCTGGAAAACTGAAGATGCTCAGTAATCTCAGAGGATTATCAACATTACATAGTTCATAATTTTCTCTTCTTAGGAAAACAGAGGTGTGGAGGAAGGTAATATTGATTTGAGAACTGCTTTAACTGTTGATTCTTCATTTTTATTAACTTTTATTAGCCTTTAAATACCTGAATGCATTTATTTTTAAATAAATAAAAATATTCCAATTCTGTAAATGAATAAATCTTACCCGCATTTTAATAAGTTCTTTACTCTCTTCTTAATTACTGAAATTATTTGTCTAATGAAGTATTTCTATGTAGTACAATTTTGGTATTTGGCAATGGCTAATGGCATCATATTACCTTGGTAGCTTTGCAAAATATTTTCACAATTCTTTAAATGTAAAATGCATTTATGAAACTATCCTTAACATGGCTTTGCAGGATATATAACTGTTGAAGGAATTAGTGATGCTCAACCTGCATTCAAAATTAAACGTGTTTCTTTGTGTTTATAATGAGTGACATAGATTTGACATTGTGATATAGTCCTTAGTGGAAGGTCTGCTGAAAGTTCTTTGTGATGTTTGCAGATAAATAATGACATGGCAAATTTTATCTAGCTTATGGAATAGTCTCCAGTTTATAGAATAGTCTCCCTGCAAGTATGTGTAACCCTACTTTCTGCAGTTCTGCAAACCAGTGGTGGTATTCAATTTTTTTTACTACCAGTTCTGTGGGCGTGGCTATTTTGTGGTTGTGGCCTAGAGGTCATGTGACTGTGTGGGTGTGGCTTATTTTGTGGGCGTGGCTTGGTGGTTATGTGACTGGCTGGGCACCACTTGGTGGTTATGTGACTGGCTGGGCATGGCTTTGTGGTCATGTGACTGGGCGTGGCTTGGCAGTCATGTGACTGGCTGGGCATGGCTTGGCGGTCATGTGACTGGCTGGGCGGAATATTTCCTCTAAAAAGAAAAGTAAAAACTCAAGAAAGGCAGAAACTCAGCCCCCCCAACCTTTGCTAATGGGCCATTACTCTGGCCTAGGCCAATCTATTTTACATAACAAAGATCTACTCCAGGTAGAGCTATATTAGGAATTGCCCAAAGCCCTTTCATTACATCATCATCCAGCAAGGCTCAACCAAGCCTGGGACTCAGGACAACCTACAGAGTTGCACCTGCATGGCCCCATGAGAGTCTGACAAGCAATCAGCATACAAGCTCAAATTCAAATCCCAACAGGGCATTCTGGATTTAAAACCAGAAATATTTTGTTGGATTCATTCAATTTTTACACATACAACAGCTGCTAGAATTGTGTTTGCACAACAATGGAAAAAATATATGAAAATGAATTAAAATATTAGAATGCAGAAATGAATATATTAACAATTACAAATTTACAATCAAGGAGAAGGCTTAGAATACTTTTTAACATGGGATTTCTTTTATCAATGGCTAACTAACAGAAACAGAAGCTAGAAATATAAAAGTATAAAAGAAAACACCAATTATATAAGGAAAGTTCAGTAAAAAGGATAAGCAAATATTAGTATTTGATCATTGTTAATGAGTAGATAACTTTGAAAGCACACACCCCCTCAAAAAACACTGCAGATAAAAACTAGTTTTTTTATTTAATCCCCAGACGAAGCCACTGCAATAAAAACCCTGGATTGTTCCCCCAAGGACCCAAAACCTCACACCAGAAATCTCAGCCCTTCTGCCTTTAAGAAACCCCCAGGCAGACAAGCAAGACAACAAAAAGCACCACTAAAGTACAGCCATTATTAAGGTAAATCACCTGGAGGTCCCCTTTTCCTGATAACTGGCAGAATTAACCACCATGATAGGAAAGACAAAAGACACAGGCAAGAACAAAAACAGGGCAATCGTGAGCACTGGAAACCCATCAAGCAGGCTCAGCTCCAGAAATGTCAACATGTTAAAACCAGCTTTAATAAGGGTGAAGTGTTATACTCCAAAACAAGTTACTAATTTTCTCAGAAACCATAAAAGCAGCTGGACTTCACGTAAAATGTCACCTGGCCTGCATGCTGCAAGCATCAACATCAAAAAATGCTAGGGCATGTTGTTATGTGCCTATAAATTAAAGCTATATTTTTAGATTTTTCCAGCTGTATCTGTTTTGTGTGTGTGTAGTTTTCAGTTGTGTAGGGAGTGTGTTTTCAGTTATGTAGTTTTCTGGGTCTGCTGCCAATCCAGTCATCTGGATTGTCAGCAGACCCACAAAACTACACAGCTGAAAACACACTCCCTACACAACTGAAAACCACACACACACACACACACAAAACAGATACAGCTGGAAAAATCTAAAAATATGGCTTTAATTGATAGGCACATAACATTTCACACAATTTAAAAGAACTTCCATACACACACAATGACAACCTCACAATGCAGCTGCTTTCTAAAAATAGAAAAGCAGCTAGCATTTCCCAAATTTTATGACTATTTTTTTAGGAAAAAAATTAACACACTTACTGTTTTTTTAAATTGGGACTGCAAACTTGACAGCTTTAAAACTTGTGGACTTCAACTCCCAGAATTCCTCCTCCAAGTTTGAATACCCTTCTTTTAAATCAGGGGACTTCTGTTAGGAATATGCGCTCATTCTCCTAACGGGGAGTTACCTCAACTTCAAACTTGATAGCTTTAAGACTTGGACTCCAGCTCCCAGAATTCCTCCTCCAGTCATGTGAGCTCAGGAATTCTAGGAATTGAAGTCCACAAGTCTTAAAACTTGCTGAGTTTGAAGACCCCTGCCCTGATTTAAATAAGAAAAAAAGCCACTTACTTACCTAATTGAAAAAAGCAGGCAGGCATCAACGATGAGCTGGATGCAGCACAAGCAACGCAGAAGGCGGCTGAAGGAGGTAAGTGCTGCTTGTTGGAGGCTAGAGTGGAGGGAGGTGGATTAGTTTAACAAGGCTGGCTAGGCTGGAGCCTATGGGCATCAGCCTGGCCAGCAAGGACCTCCGAGGGCTTTTAGAAGCCCATGAAGGGGGAGGGTGATCGCAGGGAAGCTCGGGATGAGGCTTGGGTGAGGGAAGGAGCTCCAGGTGACTTTGGCAACGCGGCACAAGCCATCACGATGCCTTGGCCAGCTACATGAGGCCCCGGGCTGGAGGCCATGGTCTCCAGAGGCCCAGGGCAAGGCCAGGCAGCGGCAAGGAGGTCCACGGGCTTTTGGAAGCCCGGGGGCGGGTGGCCGCAAGGGTAGTCGCCAGCCTACAAGGGACCCACGGCAGCTTGGGGGGTTATGCCAGTCTGCGGATTGAGGCCACAGCTGGCAAGGAGCTCCACGGGCTTTTGGAAGGGCGGGGGCGGGTGGCCACAAGGGTAGCGGCCGGCCCACAAGGGACCTGCAGCAGTTTGGGGAGTTATGCCAGGCCACGGATTGAGGCTGCGGCCGGCAGAGGATGCTGGAAGCTCTGGGCAAGGCTGGGCGGTGGGAAGGAACCCCAGGGGTTTGGGCCGGGCACTGGGGGCTCAGTGTTTACCTGGTCCTGTAGGCAGGTCCTGTAGGAGGTCCGTTGGGCTTTTTATAGGGTGGGTTTGGGATGGGTGGGCTGAGCATTGTGCGGGCAGGGCAAGCAAGCGGCGAGAGGACAGGTGGGGCAAGCGAGCAGTGAGATGGCGGGTGGGGCAAGCAAGCGAGCGGTGACCGCTCGGGCAACCAGGAACCAGTTCAGGGGCGTGGCCAGCCAGAAGTCGCTACCAGTTCCGCGATCCACACCAAATTCTTGCTACTGGATTGCCAGAACCGGTGAGAACCAGCGTGCGAACCAGCGTGTGAACCGGAACCGGCTGAATACCACCTCTGCTGCAAACAGGTTAAAACTAGCATTTCAGTGCAGTTTTCATCCCAGCTGGTTTACTATGGGAGCCTATCATCTGGAGTTTTATTTTTGTTTTCTATGTACGTATATATTTTGCTTTTGATGCTATGGTATTTTGATTAGCCATTACTGACTTTTCCTTTTTGTCTGATGTTAAAGATGCCCTCAAAGAAATAGATTAAGAAAAGTGTAATGATATGTAATGCTGTTTAGTATAAACTATGATACTTTGTAGCATTGATACTGTGGCATAATAGCATTTTGTACTGTGGATTTTTATCAGTTGTAACTGACCAAAAAGAAAGCTTTGATCTCTAGCACTGAACTCTAATATCAGATAAAAACTTGAAGTTCAATTCTATATATGTTTATTGTGTAATAATTTATATTGTATACATTGGAACTTCACAATTCATGCTGTGCCACAAAGAAATTAAGTGTACAGTTCATTGCATGCATATATTGAATTGATAAATATGTGGACGTGTTATTGTTTCTTCTTTAGTAACTTTAAAACCATATGGAACATTCAATTGATAAGTCACTTGGTTTTTTTCTTCCTTTTTTAAAATAGTTTATTTCTTCCAAAATGGCTTGTTCCAGAACTTGCTCAGGGGAAAATGGAGAACAGGCCACTTCACAGAATAACAGTGGTGATAATGAGAGGCAATGGCAGCAGGAACGCCTCAACAGAGAGGAAGCTTATTATCAATTCATTAATGCACTTAGTGATGAAGACTACAGGTTAATGAGGGATCGTAACCTACTTGGGACTCCAGGTGACTCTTAGTTTAAAATACTTTACATCTAATGTAATACTGAATCATCTGCAGTTTGATAATTAAAATTAATTCAAATAATACTTTAGCATTTATGTTCAAATTGCACACAGAATTTACTGTATCATGTAACATGATAGATAAGTAATACCATTTGTTATTTATATGCCCTGAAACTTAGTGAGAAATACATTTAATTCTATTTATTTAAATTTTATTTCATTGATTATACTGATACCAGGATTTTTAAAATACGTATTACAAATTATTTTCATTATTTTCAACTTTTTGGGTTGATTTTGGATAAAGCTTACAGAAAGTAAGTACAAAGTAGAGCAAATACAGTTTCTTAAATCTCAGGTAACAGCATTGCATAGAAGAAATACACAATAGTTTGAGGTTACTTACCTTTTTAGGCAAATGGCTTACAATTGCAAGGAAAAGTTATGAAAGATTTTGCAGTTTATGCATATTAAAAGTTTTTTTACCATTCTGATTTTCCAATTATTTCTTTAAAAAAATTTCAAATGTAATAGTAGCTATTGTTTTGTCTGTCCATGTGCATTCAGATAATAAAATTAACAGCATAAAACAAACTCTTTTAGGGGAAATAACAGCAGATGAGCTACAGCAACGTTTGCAAAGTGCAAAGGAAAATCAGTCATCCCAGTCTGAGCCAGAAAATAGAGAATGGGAAGGTAATACTACTGGATGTAAACTACTAACTTCCTTCCTTCTTCCCTCCCTCCCTCCCTCCTTTCTTTCTTGTTCTTTAATTAATATAATTCTGGGGAAAATGCAATTTATATGTATGCTTCAGAAAAAAAAAAATTATTAGAGTCATCAACCAACATGCTTCTCTGAGGCTAAGGAAAAGGATTATTTGTGGAGAATTGCAAAAAGAAATTAAGGAAAACAGGGTTGGAATTTGGAAAAAGTGCTTGTTGGAAAACGTCTGATACTTTATTTCTAGGGGGAAAGCTGCAAAATACCTATGCTGTTGCTTTAGTTAGCCCATTTGTTTATTCCCCCCCCCCACACACACACACTTGTATTGTTTTTTTAAATAACTGGAGGCAAGAAACCTACGTAATGCTCCTTCCTCCTCTTATTTTCACCACTATAACAACCTTGTGAGATGAATTGGGCTGAGAGAAAGTGACTGGCCCAAGGTCACCCAGCTGGTCTTCATGACTAAGGCGGGGCTAGAACTCACAATCTTCTGGTGCCTTAACCACTAAACCAAACTAGATATCGGATATGGCTGGTGAATGTTTAGATGGAAGATGAAGACTAGCAAGCATACCTTGTTAGAAGGGATAGATATTCTGTATTTTTTCCAGAAGCATTAAGAATGCATACTGTTAAGAAAAAAACATCTGAAATAAATTGTAATCGAAAAATCTAGGGATATTTCAGATCATGGAAATATTTTACTTTTCTCTTTAACTATCCATCTTATTATGAACTTTGCTTATTATGGGATGGGATACCATTTTATATTCTTTCTTTGTATACATTGGACCAAGTTAAAAACTTTAGAGAGTACCTGTAGTCAGTTAATTGACATGAAATTTTACAAATAACTTACTAATTTTGAAATATTTTTATTCAAAACATTGATAATATAGAATATATAAATATATACCTATAATTTCTGTCTTATTTTGGGTAATTGATATAGCTCATGTATTACACTATTGAAAGCAATTACTGAAAATAGAAGTTGTATTTGCTCTCTGTGATGAAATAATATAGTATAGAAAAGAATAATATATTGGATTACACTTCATATTATTTCTGTAAGGAGCATGTATTCATATTATCAAGTGACACTCATACTTAATTGCCTTATCTAAATGAAATCAAACCAAAACTCCTAAAAATGTTTTTCTTTAATTACAGATTCAGAGGCGCTTGGGGAAAACATAACCAGCAACTCTTTGCTTGAGTGGCTGAACACATTTCATCATACAGGAAATTCCACACATAGTGGCCAGAGTGGAAACCAGAGTTGGAGAGCTGTAAGCCAGGCAAACCCAAGTAGTGGAGAATTCCGATTTAGTCTTGAAATAAATATAAACCACGAACAGAACAATGATACTACTCCCGGGGAACAACTGAATGAGTTCTTACATGGCCATTCCAGTAGAATGCATATGGAAAATAGACCTGTAATTGCAAATAGCCCAGTAGCCAGCCGAACTAGGAGCAGGACATTAGCTAATTCTGTTGGCCATGGATTTGTCTCATCAGGAATTGGAAACACTAGTGGTTTGCTGACTCAGAATGCTGAAGAAAATTCTCGATTCTTCTCTGGTAGACTTGGAGCTAGAAGTTCAGCAAGTTCAACACCTAACAGCCTTTTAGACGACAATGAACACAACATCATTAGGCAGAGGAGAACACAAAGAGTGACTCCAGTAAGATATCACAGAGGGAGAGCAAGAACTCGAAGAAATTCAAGGCAAAGGACGGAAGTTTTAAGATTAAGATCAACTTTTAGAGGCCAATTCCAATCTCTATTGGAAAATGGGCAACCAGTCAATATACAACAAATGCATGCGGGAGCTAATAGGGCACACACAACCCAGCCTTCTCCAGAACAAACGGAGGAACAAGCATCATCGCTCGGTATAACTTTGGAAGAGGAAGAATCAGTAAGAGATGTAGCTGCATCTAGAAGGCATCCTAGTATTACATTAGATCTTCAGGTGAGGAGAATTCGTTCCAGAGAAAATAGAGATCGTGACAGTATTGCTTCTAGAACTCGTTCGAGAGCAGGCACGGCAGACAACTTGGTGACTCTCGAAAGTGATAACGAAGGATTTATTCAGAATGTTTCACGATCTGAATATGCAGGAGTACGGACATACGTTAACACTATACGGATACCTCTTCATAGGGCATCAGATTCTGGACTTGGTGAGTCTTCATCAGTGGCTGTCAGATCAATTTTAAGGCAAATTATGACTGGATTTGGAGAGCTAAGCTCTTTAATGGATACAGAAACAGGTTCTGAAGCTGAGAGGAATAGTCAGCACTTGTCAGAAGTACAGCCCCCAGTGCCTAACTTAGAAACTTTAAATAATACTGATGTATTTAATGCAACTTTGCCTAGGGATAGATTAACTGAACAAGATAGCAGGCAGGGAGAAACAAATTCTATCCAACACCATCAAAATAATAATACCCCAAATAGCAGAGCTGCTTCATTTGTTGAAAATGGAACACTTCCCATCCTTCGCCTTGTACCTTATCTTTTATTAGAAGAAGATTCCAGTGACAACTTGAGAGGGTTGACCAAAGACCAGATTGATAATCTTTCTACCCGGAATTATGAGATTCCCCATTCAGAAGATGATGAAATAAGTAAGACGTGCAGCGTCTGCATTAATGAATATGTTGTAGGAAACAAGCTAAGGCAGTTACCATGCATGCATGAGTTCCATTTTCATTGTATTGATCGGTGGCTTTTTGAAAATTCCACTTGCCCAATTTGTCGGCAACCTGTAGTAACTTAATATCGCAGGCAGTAGAAGAATCCTCAAATCCAGAGGCCTCTTTTTTTTTTCTTTTAACTGACTTTGAATAATAAAAGAGGGTGTTTTAAATATGTTTAAAGTAAGAGAAAATCTGATGGTTTGCTAAGGATCGACCTAACCTCCAAGTACAGATATAAGAGGTATAAGAGTAAATATTCAAATTACCTTAATGAAATTATATTTTTCTATATAATTTTGTTATGCATAGCACTTGTGTAATTCAGGAGCTTATGTTATTAATAGCATACTTTTTATTGAGATTTCCATTTGTTTTCTGCAGTTATAAAGTAATGTTATTGCTCTATTAATAATCCCCCTTTTAAGTTGCCAAAGAACGAAGATTGGAGCATCTGGCAAAAAGGTACTTGCTATTTGAAGTGCTTTTCATATACAATGTATATTTTTATGGACTACACTGAACATTTGGCTTTATTTATTTGTTTTATAGAAGTATTGCATGCTTTTTATACAGTTTCTCATTGACACATTAAGGTTTAAATCTTAAGACCAATTGAAATTCAATTCACTCGACTGATTTGGGCAGTCCGTATTTTAGCATATACAGGCATAAGGTTAGAGTGGATGATTGCTAATCCTTACTCGCCACTTCTCTAGTCAGTTCAGAACATTCAGAAAGGAGTGTATATTTAATATGGCCTTGCAACACTTTGGATACAAAAGGAAAATGATGCTTTGGAATGTTGCAGGAATGTTCATGTGACCCTAGGCAACTTCTTGAAAGTGTAGTGTCTTTTCTTTGGCCATACACCCATCTTCGTTCCAGATTAGCATAATCACAGTTTAGCCTTGGGAAAGAGGCTTTAGTTAAAAGAGTTGTCAAAAGATGACTGATACCCAAGCGCAGCACTGTGTTCCTTTCAAATCCAAAGCACTGCACACCCAACATATTTAATGCATTTGACACACATGAAGACAGACTAATTTTAAAAGAATTTTAATTTGTACATGAACAAGGGCAACAATCATACTTCCTTAACACCATGCATGGTTCCTTTTTTATAAGCAACACTATCAGTTTGCTGTGAACAAAAAGCATGTAATTATTATATTAAAATGGAGAATTTCCAGAGGATTTTGTTAAGAGAGAATGTACTGTAAGATATCAGAAACATCTGTATTCTTGGGTTGAAAGCATATTATATCAATACCTGATAAATAAAACTACAAAAATGGAAAAGTTGTGAATCATTTATGTCATCTAAAATATGAGTGACAACATTGAGGTATTGCTTGTTCCTTTCTTGCAGCTAGTTGAACCTGTTGAGCTTGGTTTGTAGTAAATAGCTTAAAGACAAGTGTATATCAATTAATTTTAGAATATCTTGTATGTTGTTTCCCCATAGAATGGGTTGAACAGTCTAGGGAGCCACAGCATTTCCTGAAATAATTTTTCTCTTGCAGTAGTACATATGGTATCTTTTTGATCACAGTAAACATGGACAAGCAGTCCACTCCAGATGTTAAAATGATAAAATGCAATAGCACTTAAACTTACATACTACTTTGTAGGGCTTTACACTATGTGTGGATCACAGGTGGTCTTTCCTTTTTCTCTCCTTTCTTATATCCAACAAAAATATTGTTCAGTGGATCTCCTTTTATTGTTTCCTCAATTTAAAAAACCCTAAACAAATGTTTCCTGTTCTTTATCTATATTGCTCTCTAGCGTCAACAAACAACAGAATATTAAACCAGAATACAAAGTAGAACACAGAAATCTGTATTTGGTAGGTAGTCCTTGAATTAGAACCAAAACTGAGCCTGGAATTTTGGTTGTAAGTCATTAAGGTTGTTGAACATGTAACCTGACTCAATTTTACAATAGTTTTTGCAATGTTATTAAGCAAGTCACTGGTGGTTAAGCAAATCACATGGTTGTTTAATGTTGTTAAGTGAATCCAGCATATCCAATGGGCATTTTTGTTATTCTCTAATGCAAAACATTAAAAAAGTTGCAAATTTCAGTCACACAATCATGATTGCTAAGTGATCACGGGATGTATGTGTGTGGTAGTCATGTCAATGACAGATCATAAGTAGCTATTGGTCATTAAGCAAGGAGTGTGATGTGTGTATCTGTGTGATCACATTATCTGAAACAAAAAGGAATCTAAACAAGTAGAATTCTTTTCATGAAAAGGAACTAGAACAATTCCTTTGGGGAGAGGATGTGGAAGGCAAATTTTGCTGCTGTAATTCCCCTGAAACACCAGGGAGGTATGTCAGCATTAGCAGACAGGCTTCCTTTTTTTTTCTGATAATCCAGGTGAGGTTCCATAATGGGTTAATTAGATGCCATTAAGTCATTTTTGACTCCTAGCAGTTGCATAGATTCACAACCTATTATTTAGGTCCCCCCACCCAATGGTGCACTCATTACCACTGTAACAGATCCTAATGATCTTGCGGCTAGTTGCCCTCTTTTTCCTTCCAGCTTTCCAGCATTAGAGCCTTTTCCAAATAGCTGAGTCTTCATATAATGTGCCCAAAGTAGGTTAATTTAAATCTCAAGTGAAAATTCTGGTTTGACTTGTTCAGTGATCTATCAGTTTGTTTTCTTGGTTGCCCATGGCATTTGCAGGAGACTTCTAAAATTCACAGGTGTCAGTATCCTTCCTATTCTGCTTTTTTAAAGTCCAACTCTAGCCGTCAAAGGAAATACCATAGTTTGTCCAGTTCCAATCTTTATAGGTATAGAATTATTCCAGAATATGAGCATCTTTTCTAAGGTCTTCATGATTGCTTGTCTGCAGCTTGTTTACAAAAACCAGAACCAGAATTTAATTCCTCTCTTTCTCACAGCATTGTATATGTCAATGTTAAAGGGCTTTTTAAATTTTTTTTGGAGGAGGGGGCAATCTGATACACATGTGCAAGATTTAAAGCATCTAAACAATTAAAAAAAAACCTTAAGTAACTAACTTCTTAGAGCATCTGCAAATGGTGCACATGGTTTTAGAGACACCTGTAAGAGTTAGAATAGGAGGGGGCTAGAGAAGAAGAGTTCTTCCATAGTTTACACAAGATGGTGAAAGGTGTGACCAGCTAAGCAGAGGCCTAAGAATTCAAGGACAAAGAATGGAAGAGGTTCAGCGGTCATCTTCAGTGGATTGGGAAGGCAGATGCGTTTTTGGAAAAGAACCAAATCAATGCCAGAACAGAAAAATCCCTAACAAAGCAATCCTACTAAAAAAAAGGTGCTTCAGAGGCTAGCTGGGTTTTTCATAGAAGATTGAATTATTGAACAGAGAGCAGTGTCTTTCTTCCCCATTTTGACTAGTCCAAGGCTTTTCTTCCTTGGAAATACAAGCTAGTTAGAGGGAATAGCTTTATTATAGAATTACAAAAAGCCTGCAGTTAAGCAACTGGGAGAGAAGGGTAGATGCATTTGACACGTAAGAAACTAAGGAATGTTTAGACAGAGGTGTGATAAATATACGCTGGGTTTTTTTTTGTTAAGTTTCAATATTCACATGTGCACACTGTACTCAGAATAAGACAGTCTATACTATATATACACAAGCTCTTTCTGTTCGTTATTGTAATCCTTCGTAAACAGTAATAAATGTCAACTGTGATAAACATCACATCCTGTGTATGTCTGGACTGGTTTCTTGTCCTTACACATCCTCGGGGGATAGATGAAAATCCTATCCCCCTCAACTCATCCACCAAATCTGTATGTTTTTCACAAACATGTTTTTTCCCCTCTTCTGATTTTTTTGAAAGTACTGGTTATACAAATTTTGTATACTGGGTATGCAAATGCTTTACAATTCTTACTGGAATTGTTACAAATTTGATCATCTTAATGACTTGAAAATGACTTGTTTTTGTTGTTTATCCTTTATATTACAAACAGGAGCCTTTGTTGCTGCAATTACTGTATAAACTGGTAAAGTATGCTATGAGTAGTGGGAATATATGAATATTAGCAAAGAACATTGCTTTTCAATTGTTACAGTTTAAATTTAGATAAAATAGGTTTTGAAATAGAGTAAGCTAAGACAGGTTTCAACAGAAATCTTATATAAATTGAACTTTAGGGCACCGATAAAATATTTTGGGGAGGGAATGTAGTTGCTGCCAATATAATGTATGTATTTCTTTATTTGTCTTAAAGCATGTTTATTGCATACTTCTGATAAAACTCTAAAAGCAGCTGAAAGTTCAAGTTTAAAAAACAGACTGTCCTTTGGATGTCTCAGTTTATCTAAAGGCATGGCATTAAAACATCAAAAGGTATATAAAGCAGATTGGAAGTAGGAAAATTTAGGCACAAACGTTTACAGTTCCAATTCTTCTAAAGACTAGATGTGATAGAAAGAGCTCAGGATTCTTGATGGAATGACTAGGGACAATGGAATGACTATCCAGTAATAAGAAAAAAGCTGAGCCAGTTTGATGGAACAGTTTTACTTCCCTTCCTTCTCTTTATTGCAGGCTATGGATTAACTATTGTTGTTTCCAGGGCTGTTTGTCAACTTCTCTTTATTTGAGGAAAGAGTATGCTAGACACATTATAAATAATATATAATATTGAGATAGGGTGATAATCATTTCATAATAGAGTTAATAATCTACAATACGGACTTTGAACAGATCATTATTTCAAACACATCATTACTTCAGTGAAAGAACAGTAGGCTCATTAGAAGGATAAACAGCTTCAAGATAGTATAGCTACCGTAGTATTTAAAATAAGGAGCTACTAAATCATGTTTCCTTTGTTCCATTTCTAAATCAAAGACCTTCACTGCATAGTTCATCTTGAAGGATTAATTCTGTTTTTTTGTGGTTTTACAAATGCATAGCTTTTAGGGACTATAGCTTTTTTTGTCATACTTGCAGAACATTTTGGGATTTAAATCCCATCATCTGAAGAGTGATGAGGAAAGAGATGTTAGCATATGTCAATAGCCATAAAACTGTTAAAAGAATATTAAAAAGTGGATGAGAAAGGTCATAGAATTGCCAATTTGCTGCACCCAATATACTACTAGATCAGTTGAAAGATTTCCTTCAATGCCAAAGAATTTCACATTCATGGCATATTTCTATGATTTCTAGTAGTATTACCGAGCTTTCTCCTAATGCTTTTAAAAATTTCAGTTAAAGACCAAATCTTGCATGTTGTAGCACTTTGTCCGAGATATTACAGCAAAACGTCTTAATCGGGTACCAAAACAGCTTATTCCATTTTCTCTCTTTCTTAGGCAAATGTCTCTTCCTCTTTGCCAGTGGGGAATAGTCAGTCTTGGAAAGTTGTAAAAAAACAGATTTGGGACCGAAGACTCATGATTTTAAGCCCAGTCTGGCCCTCCACCATGATTCCAATACCTTTATTATTTAAACCTGCTTCAGAATTGTTCTTCATTTATTCCATGAGATTAACTACTACTGGAAGAACTTGCTTTCTTCTGACCAAAAAAAAAAAAAAAAACTGAGGAGGTGAAAATAGTGATCTTCCAACTTCTCTCCTGTTGGTTTGCAGCAAGCAAAGCTTTAGGACATTGAGAATTCTTAACAGGACCATTGGATTGTTCTGCCTACCACCACATTGCTTAAAATGCTTTTCTTTTAAAGTACTCTCACAGTTTACAAATGGAAAGCAGTAGAGCAAACATTACTGAAAATCAAGCCCTTGACCTCCAGAAAATCTGAGTTTTCCACCAGACATGTTTCAAAGATTTATTGTGTTTAGCCGTCATAAAAATTATGATTGTTGATTGCCTATACATTTTTTATATTTGGGAAAAATAAAAAGCATGTGATTATCACTTTAAAAAAAAAGTAGCACATACTGGATCCAACTCCACAACATATGGATTCTTTAGAATTTGGATTTTTTTATAAAATTCACTGGACATTAACATTAATCAGTGGCAAGATTAACATATTTGTCACATAGAGGGGATCATTATTTTTTTAACAATCGACCCTCCTCTGTAACTATTGCACCGTTGCACCAACTACCGAACAGTTAGTGCAACCACAGAGTAAGCTGACTCCTCACCCACTACTGGTCTCTTCGTTATCTTCAGCAGCACTTAGTGCAGGCCCCCTTGGTGCATGCCCCCTTGGTATGCTACTAATGGTAGAAAGTGTACCCCCCCAAAAGCCATCATCAGGGGTGGAGGGTAACCAAGGGATCAAATGATATTGTGTGTAGCATGACAATATCAGGCAAATGACACAAGTAATTTATGCATCATTATGGTTTCTATCAGATACCTATGTCTATCTTCATAAAAATTAACAAACAAATCCTTGAGATGTGTTATTGTGAAAATAGGTTCTCCTGTTTTCAGAAGTAAATCTAATACTCCACCAGCTTGTTACGGTAGTAAGACTAAAAACAAAACAATCACTTATATTGCTTTATATAGAACAGATTGGAGAAAGAAACATAAGAAAGCTGAATACGGATTGTATAAATAGAACTTGCATAGCTGCTGGAAATCTCTTATGGTATTTCTCAACTTTTCTACAAGTGATAGATTTTACTTATCAGAAGTTTTTAAATTCCTGTGTGGCTATTAGGTTACAGTTCTGGAGACACCTGACAAATGTTCTACTTCTAATATCAATATACTGCCTCTATTTACTACCAGGAGACTTTTTTAAAAAAAATCTTCCACCTTTATTTTTTTTGACTTACATGTTTTCTGTGTTTTGCATAACCTTACTTAGCATAAAAAGAAATAGTTTGATGGGTTGTATGTATGTACACATGCATTAAAAAATGGCCTCTTGGCAGACATGGGAAAACTGACAAGTCTAATGAGAGAGAAATCTACAGATGCTTTTATTAAAGACTGATATAAGACTGTAATATGGTTCATATTACAACAGTAGAGAAAAACAGCTTCATGATAAAGGGTTTTATAGATTAAATAAGGGAAGATAATGATGAACAAGTAGAGATTACAGTGGGATAAAAGAATTAGATGGTTAATGAATTTCTGAGGAAAGAGGGTGAAGTATATATGTAAGTTATATGTTTAGTTTTATATTTTCAGGCTTATGTTTTTGTATTGTGTTTAATGTTTATTTCATGTATATAATTTTAATAAAGTTTTACAAAATGGTCTCTAAATAATTTGTATTTTAGACTTCTTTCATGTTTTTTTTATGTAAGAATCCTATAGATTTAGTTTTTCATGTTATTCAGATCTGAAATATGTTAACAATAACTTTAAATTCATTGAACATTACAGAAAGAAATAAAAGATTAGATGAACTTTCTACTGCATGTCTGAAATCATTATGGCCATTTTAAGATATAATATCTGCAGAGCAATTTACATAAATGCCTTATTTTTAGGGAGATCTTAGTGGGCAGGAGAGCTGTTAAAAGTGAAGGAATAAGCATAACGAAATGTAAAGTATTAGAATACTTGTTCAAATTTGTATAATTGCTGTATAAATTCTATTTGGCAAGCAATTGTTTCACTTCGGTTAATTTTATTATGTCTTATGCAATCTTCACTGTACTGTAAATTGCCTGTTTGGTTAAATAAGGAATCTAATTTGTGTCATTAACAGAGTAACAGTTGGAAGGGATCCAAATACCATGATGCTCATCTCTATGGAAAATCATCTTTTCCATCCCCAAGTGTAGTGATGCAAGTTTGAAAATTTGTGTAGATACATTACGGGGTGCTTTATTTGCTTTATTTATTGATAATTAATTCATCTGTATTGAATTTGGCCTCTGCTGTAGGACCAGTGGAAATGGATATTAATTTTAAATTAAAGAAAAATCCATCTCCATTGGGCCTAGAGTACAGGCCGGATCACTCTTTCCTGTTCTGCAATAAAGTAAATAACAATGTGCATAAATTTGTGCATAGGAGGCTTGCTTAAATTGCATCTGGTTTTCTTAGACAGTGTGTGCAAGGACAGTGACCCCTTTGCAGGTTCTTGGGAAACTTGGCAAGCCCCTACTCTTGAATTTACTATTCCTATTTGGCTCTTGGGCTGCACATGTCCCACCACATATGTGGTAGTAGGGCAGTCTTCCAGCAGAAAAGACAAATACATTTCCAGGGACACAGCCAAAAACTGAGCTCAGTAAGTGCTATTCTCAATTTTGCATGAACGGGTTGGGTCTGCTTGAATAGGAACACAATGAGTTCCTGCTGCCTTATTACAGGTAATGAGAAGCTTCATGTGATGCAGCTAATGAAGGGAATCGGTGCCCTTTCCTCTCCCGTAAACCACGCAACCCATGTTGCTCTCTTCTCCGTTCCTCCCTGCGTGCCCTAGGATGAAGAAGGGGTGACCCTGGGTTTTCCTCTGAATTCCCTCTCCCTTGTTCTACCTCTCCCCTGCTCTGCCCAGATGAACCTTGCCCTTCCCCAGTTTCCTTCAATGGAGCCACACTCCCACTCCCTGTCAACTTTTCGGATTCAGACTCCAACAGGGGCATGACATTTGCTCAAAAAACAGTCCATGGGCCAACAAAAATATTCTTTTTTATTTCTTTATTCAAAACAGTTTTCCAACGAGGTTAACTTACACCTGCTGCCTCTGTGCATCTTGAAGGCATCTCTGCATGAGGCCCATCAAATGACCGCACCATTTACCGCACACTTGCTTTTGGTGTCTGCTATCCCACCACTTCTCCACAGCAGCCACGGATCTGTTCTCCTCGGAAGGTCACTCTGTGGGGATGGTGATTAATATTCCTAAAACTCAAAAGCAATTTATCAGATTAGCAGAGTTGGAAGGGACCTTGCAGGTCATGTAATCCAACCCCCTGCCCAAGCAGGGAGACCCTGTCTACACCCTTTCTGACAGATGGCAGTCCAGGCTCTTCTGGAAAGCCTCCAGGGATGAAACTCCCAACAACTTCTGAAATGATTTTTCCCTGCACAAGGACGACAACGACGGGTGTCCAAATTCAATCCATTTCCCGCAATGGCAGACTGAACAGAAAGGAATCAATGCAGCCCTCATGGGCATCCTATGAACCTAAAGGTGCCCTCAAAGTGTCTCTCAAAGGGCTAGAAAAAAACCTTTCTCCCTGAAAAAGAGAATGAAGGGGCCATGAAGAATAGCCCTTGCCAGTCCCTGGCATTGAAAGCCTCGGGACCAACACAGCTACCTCCCATGGGGAAAGGACAAACCAGGGTGACAATATCTGCCCAGTTACTTCTGCCAGGCAATGCTGGAAACCTTCCTGGTTCTTCTCCGACCGCCACTTCCAGGCCACGTTGGGTGTTGCAAGCCGTCACCTCTGGATGGGGAAAGGGGCTGCCTTTACAACACGGCCAGGCCAGTTCGCCGGATTATGGGAACCGGCGGGAACAGGGGTCGGTCTAGGACTGCCAAAGCGAGCGCTTAGCCCAGCCTACAGGACAAGATGCGCCAGGTGCGGAGCCAAGCTCCCCACCTCTCAGCGGGGCCTACCGACTCCGGGGCGCGCTGCGTTCTGCGGCAAAAATCCCCGGAGTTTCGCAGCTGAAGAATCGAAGCACTTCGGCACTGGGGCCTCTCCCCCCCCCCGCCCGCCCCACATACACACACACACACACTCCTCCTTCCCCGAGCTGCTCGGCTCCTGCCGCAACGAGCCGGGCAGCCCGAGACGCCGAGCCGCAGCGGCGACGGGCGACTCGCCGCTTCGGCGCCGTCAGCGGGAGGGTTTGCGCGGGAGCGGGCCGGCGAGGAGGAGAGCCGATGGCGAGGTTACCGCTCCCTCCGCCGCCGCCGCCGCCGCCGGCCAGCCCTTAAGCAGGCGCCGGGCGGAGAGCAGCCTCGCAGCATGACGACTCCCCGCCGCCTCGACAAGGCGCTGAAGATGCCCCTGCAGAGGAAGACCAAGATCCATTCGGCGGCTGGTGGGTGTGTGCGCGCGCGCGTCTGGTGAAAGAGGCTGGGAGGGGGGGAAGAGGGAAGCTGCATCCCCGCCGAACTGTAATCCTACTCCGCGCGCAGCAGCAGACCCCCTGCCGCCCCCCCCTCCCGTCCCCTCGAGTGCGCGTCTTCTTCCTTGAGAGTCATGTTGGGATTTAATGGCAACGCTGCGTTTCCCCCCTCCCCCGCTCCCGCTCCGCTCATCTGGTCAATTCGCGTCAGGGTGTGTGTTTGTGTGTGCGCGCGCCCGTTGTCTCGCCTCCCATTTTCTGCGCTCCGCGGAAAGGAGCGAGAACACATAACGAAGGGCTGTCTTGTCGCCAGCCTCCCGGGATCTGATCGGTTTCCAGCTTCTCCTTTTAACGCTCTCGTTGGAGCAAGAGAAGATTTGGGGTTTCTCTGAGCCGAGGCTGGTTTAGCTTTTGGAATTGCTCGGAAGATGGGAAGCTCTGCGTGTGGTGTGTGTGTGTGTGTGTATGTGTTTGCGCTATGTGTTTCACAGCCTCATGAGTTTAATGGGATTTATTTCTAGATATAGTTGTGCGGGATTGGTGTCTTAAAAATAGCTTTGTCCTCTCAGTGCCCGCAGGCTTGAAATGGTGGTAGAGCCTCCAAGCTAGAATGATTCTCTTTCAAACCTCACAGCTAGGAGCCCGATACTGGAAAATCCCTCAATTCTCCTTTTTGCATATAGATCAAATGAAACCAGACCTTTTATGTTAAGGACAAGGATGATGTATCGACCAATCCAGTTTGGCCCACACTTTCTTCAGCAACCTATCAAAGAACAACCTATCAAATGTATGTATATGTATACGTATATGTGTGTATATGTGTGTGTGTGTGTGTGTGTGTGTGTGTGTGTATGTATGTATATATATATATATATATATATATATATATATATATATATATATACACATACACATACACATACACATACACATACACATACACATACACATACATACATACATATACATATACAGACAACAAAATAAGTACCATATTTCTGCCCTGCTTTTGATTAGCTGTCCCATTGATCCTTTCCAGAAGTGATGAGCTACCACTGTCTTCTTCCCCCGCCTGGCTGGGGATGATGGAAGCACTTCAGAGAACACTAGATTGGCTTAATGTCATATTGCAATCCCAAGGCTACAATCCTGTGCACACAAATTTGAGATGAAGATCCATTTGGTCAAATGAGAGTTGCTCTTAAGGACAATAAGCACATAAAGAAGAAACCTGCACACGCTAGACTAGAGATAGCGAAATCAAGCTTTCTGTATGAATCCCTTTTAAAGCTTGGTTCCTGGACAGAGCTCAATTCTAAGAGAATTTTTTTCCACAACTCTCCCCAGCACCAACTTCTCCTGTTTAGAAATTAGACATAGAAAAAGTTTGTATAAATAGCTGCCTTCTGGACTACATTGTACATTACCAGTCAATTTGTTGGAAATTGAACATCTAGTCATCTGAATAAAAAAATAAGTCTTGGGCGGCTAAGATCTGAGATAGGTATACATTTCAGTAGTTCTGTTTAGTGTTATGTGTATAATATATGGGTGTAAGACAAGATTCAATAAAGAAGCTGTTTCCTGCATTGGATTTACAAAAGAGGCTTGTTAAAGGTTTGAAGAATTTTAGGAGGACAAATAAAAAATATAAAGGAATTCAGAAGAATATTATTTGAAGGGCCTTAAAAGATCAAGATTCCTAAAAGTAAAAGGGAGGAATATGAAGTTGATTTATTTGATCAAGGTTAAAATAGATAAGTTGTTATCTCTGGTAATTCTTAATGGACTTTTGCTAATCAGGTCTGAAATGAGGAGGCTTTAAGGATTGGTTTATAGACAAGAAATGGTGCTAAGTTACTAAAGTTGTTTGTTTCATTAATGAAGAGGGAGACATTTCTTTATATATTTCTTTGCCTTAGTTCTTTTTTTTTCTTTTTTCATGCACCTTCTTTATTTTAGGTTATATTAGTTGAATTATGCCTTTTGATAAGATTACTATTTAAAAAAAGAAACTATTCATAAGACAGTAATATTACATGCTCTAAATGACTCAGAAAAGAACAGTGGATAAATTGATGTATTTTTGCTTTATCTGGGGGAGTTTCCTTATGGAATAATGCTATCTGGTAAAGGCATCTGCTCTCTAAAATCACTTCTGTGCAATCATATGAGAAAATAAAAATAAAAATATGAGCCAATATAGTAGTGAAAGTTTGTATCTGTATTAATTTGAAATCAACATTCTTTACATAGTGAGTGACTGAAATTTCACCTGTACTTTTGAAACTTAATTATATTCATAGGACTAGATAATTTAAATGCTCTTGACATACCAGTTACAGTGTTTTGAAGAAATACTACATCTTGTTTTCCATCTGAAAATATATTATTAATTCAATTTATATAGCCACCCATCTCACATAAATGCATCTTTAATGTATTTTATATATAAAATACGTTTAAAAACTTTAAGTTCTTTAATTAAGTTCTTTTATACAATTGAGTGATGTATTCACCTTGTTTCTACTTAAATGGTTTTTAACTAGATTAAGTTTCCAATATTTAAACTGTATTATTGTTATTCCTTGTATTTAGATCTTATCTAAATCATATTCCTAATCATATTCTACTGGTAAAATGATATCTCATAACAGAATGTTTTTCTCCCCTCATACCCTCTCCACTTGAAACAGATACATATCCAATTAATATGTTTGTTTATTCAGAAAATGTATGAAATCAGAAGTTGGAATCAGGATTCTACCTTTCTTAGTGGTTAAAGTCAATAGCTTTGAATTAAACCAATCCATTTTGTTGTTTTTCATGATCATTTCATGAAATAGGAAATGATCCCATTCTATATATGTTTGAGGTCCATGAGGGAGGTTAGTGGCACTTGAGAGAGCTGGATCTGTGCACAGAGGACTGCAAACACTAATGGGAGAATAGATATAATCCAGTCAGGATAGCAGATCAGAAAGATAAACTGTCAAGTATAGAATCTAAACGACAATTAGAATCAGGACCACGGACAGCTCCAATTGAGTCTATTCATTTATTTTGCTGTTGGTACTTCTTTAGAGCCTGGTCAGAACTGATTCGCAATAAAACCTGGTTAGTGAAGCAACTCTTGGAAGTATCTGGCCCTTCCTCTATTTTAAAGAGTGAAGTAAGGGAGTTCCAACTTCCTTGACCTAATGAGAAGCACCGAAAGAGGCTCCCCTCCTTCTAGATATTTAGCACTGGATTTGCAAATTTGTAAATGAATACACTGAGCAACAAACAGCTATATGAAATTGCTTCAGGGATCTGAATAGCATGATTTCCAGGGGTGTGAAATTTTCAGAATGTCTCATTGACTTCTTTGCTAGCCTTAATTTTTTCTCTTCATTGCAATTTGAATTTATACTTTAGCACCTCCTTTCTTAGGAATTCCCACCCAGTTCAAACACTATTTCCCAATTAGCTTTTTCAATCATGAAATCATAGTGTTGTTGCTTGGAATTGAAGTAAAAGATGTTTGCCTTAAAATGAAGGATTCCAGGATTACTCCAGGAACCTCAGTGGTGCAGTGGTTAGAGTGCAATACTGCAGGCTACTTCTGTTGCAGCCAGCTGCCTGTAATTCGGCAGATCAAATCCCACCAGGCTCAAGGCTGACTCAGCCTTCCATCCTTCTGAGGTGGGTAAAATGAGGACCCAGATTGTTGGGGGCAATATGCTGACTCTGTAAACCGCTTAAAGAGGTCTGTAAAGCACTGTGAAGAGGTATATAAGTCTAAGTGCTATTGCTATTACATGGTCCCTTTCCCACAATATTTCTGCTATTTCTGCTATTTTAAGTATTTTGTATTAGTATCAAATCCACTTTATGGCTCTAATTTAAAAGATAAATTAATTAAACAATAGAAGCCAGAATTTTAGAGATTTCAGGAAATCTTGGGTATAGTTTCACATGTAGTGTTAACTATTGTTAGTTGAATTGGCTAGTTTGCACAATTTGGAGACTTCAATAAGGAGACATTTTAGACTTGCAGAGATTTGTATGACTATGAATAATACAAATATCTGCAAACCTGGGGTGTCTTCTTGAATTTTCCAGAGTTTTTATCATTCTAATTTTATTATTGCAAAAGGTTAAAAGTATTAGATACATTACTGGAGGATAATTGATTTCACTTAAGTCTCAATGTAAACAAAATCTAATTTAGTTTTTGTTTTGACTCCAACCACTACAATTGTTAAAAGCCTGTTGTGGCTGTCAGCCCAGAAAAATATGCACAGATATGTCATAAGTCACACTTACAACCAAAATGTTTGGATTTATATAACACTTACATTGTGACTAAATGTTTGGCTTAAAATTATATAGTTGGAAAGGATCTTGAAGGTTTTATTGTTCAGACACATTTGATGAATGATCCAATGATTTAATTATTTAATAATTTAAATAATTTAAAAAATAAATTCAGTGAAGGAGAGTGCTCTACTGGTATATAGCTCTAGGAAATTTCTACAAAAGTTGCTTGAAACCCGTTTCTCCGGTTTCCATTATTAGTTCTATTCCTGCAGTTAAACAACAGAGAATCTACTTGTTTTGACTGCTGCATGATAGCAATTTCAATATTTGAAGAGAGATCAAGTCATGTCTCTTTCCTTAATTGCTTCTTTACTTAGACAATCATGTACAGCTCTTTGAAAAGTTATTAGGATTTCCTTCAGATTTCTTACAATCATTTCTCCCATTGTCATGTATTCAATTTAAACCTTCTTAAAATGTGATATGTAATTGCTATGGTACTAGCATGTGGCAGAAATAAATGATTTTAAATATAATCTTAAATTTGCTTATGCTTTGGTGAACATAATACCTCGTGACTCAAACAACCCTAAAACTTGTTTTGGGAATGACAATATCAAATTTTGCATCTCCAAATTCATATCCAAATGATAAGTAAGGGGCTTTTA